GGCTGAGGCAGGAGGATCTTTGCAAGTTCAAAGACCAGTTTGGGCTACAAACTGAGCTCAAGGTCAGTCTGAACTGCACAGTGAGACCCTGTCTCAAAAAGACAAAAAACAAAACAACAACAACAACAAAAAAAACAACCAACCAACCAACTAAACAAACAAACAAACAAAAAACCAAGATCTATCTGAAAATCCTGACTTAATCACTGACTGGCTGTGCTACCCCAGCAAGTCACCTACCTTGTCTAAGCCACAGGCTCTACTCCCCTAGCCTACTCCTTGTTCCCATGCAGGATGGGCAGCCCCCTTTCCTGGGCAAGTGCCCATACCCTGGCTACCTCACTTGGTCACTCCAGCAGGAAGCTGGGGACAAGCGAGGGGACAGCATGGCCACCCAGAGGCAGAATTCAGCACCTCTGCAGAGGTGGCTTCTGCTGGGGCCCAGATGCTTACTGCGCTAAGCAAGGGGGCCTGACCATGCCAAATCTTCCAAGAAGCTGGAAATCTAAATTTTTATATGTAATTTCCCAAGTTTTAAATATCACTAATTAACAGTTTTCTAAATCACTTGAAGGCCAAACAAAATATATATCCAGGCCGGCTCTGCCCCACTCCCTTCCCCTGTCTGAGACATCCACCCTGTTATTGGATGCCGCATTCCCAAACACATCGGCCACTTCTGTAGCCCCAGCAGTGTCCTCAGGGACTTCAGCCGGCCCCCACATCATCTCCAGAAGTGACCCAATCTCTTTACCAGACGGGAACTGTAAGCCAGCAATGACTCCGGGCTGAGCCAGGCCTTTGTACTGGCTTGGTACAAATCGCAAGAATAGTTTTGGAATTGAGACACTGTCCCCAGCGTGGTTCCTCTGTGTCCAGCTGCCGGACCCTGGTGGGAGGAGCTTCCACCTCTGAGCTGTGGGTCCTCTTCCACACAAGGCAAAGCAATACATCCCCAAGCGCAAGAGTACACCTAGCACAGCCAGCACTGCCCAAGGGATGGGCTCCCTCCTCCTCGCTGGCCCTCTCCCGCGGATGGGCAAGAGGGGACAAAGACAGGAGACTCGTCAGTGACCGGCCTTTTCCAAGTACGGCAGAGCATCTGTCTCTGGCCTGCTGGTCATAGGCCCTCCTCTCAGAGCCCTGCTGTGCTAGAGTGTGGCTTCCAGGGGCCCAGGAGTACAGAGCGCAGAAAAGGCCAGGTCACAGGGTTGGGGAGCAGAACTCTCATGAGGCAGACAAAACACCTCCCCTCTGTGACCCCCAGTGACCCAGGCTGTCAGGCAAGACAACCAAAGCCTGGGTGCCATGGCAACCCTGTATCTGTTACCTCCTGCTACCTTCATTCCAGGATCCACTGTGGAGCAGCAGCTACGCCACCAAGCACCAGTGGGGTTTGGCTGCAGCCCATGGCAGACATGGTCTCATAAGAGCAGTGACTTTATAGAATCATGCACAGTGGTACATGCCTGTGATCCTCGCACTCCGGGAGGCTGAGGCAGAAGGCCTCCAAGTTCAGGCCCAATGTGGTACATCCAACACTGTGCAAGCTTAGAGCTCTCCTGGACTGGCAACCAGGCTTTGCTTACCAGGTGGAAGGGACTAGGGGAGCGGGGCATCCAGCTCCAAGCAAAGGCGAATCCGGGGACAAAGGACTCCTTCATCAGAGCATAAGAACCAGGGGCACTTGAAAATCAACTAAATTAAGCAGGACCTCTGGCCACCAGCCCACCTGTAGGGGCCTTGCTGTGACTTCTATGCCAGGGCAGGATGAGACTGCACTCCTTGGCCCCTTGGTGGGCGCAGCACCTTTGGCCTTGGTGCCTACTAGAAGGCTGTGCACAGCCAGCACTCAGGCAGCAGGCACCAAGCTGGTGCAAATAAACTCACCGAGCCAGGTGGAGAGGTGCGCAGGCTAGCACAGCAGAGGGGACGCTGCTCCCCTCCACACAGCACGTGCCAGGCACCCCGCCAGGCACTTTACATACATTATTTCCTGTAATCCTCTGGGAAGCCAGGAGGTGGGTCCTGCTCATACTTCTACCTTGGCAACTTGAAGACAGGTTTAGGGGAAGCTGAAAGCTTGCCCCAGGGGGCGCATTTAGTGAGGGTGCGTACCAAAGATCTTCCAAGGCCAGCTGATGGGACAAAGCCAAGTTGAAGCCACAATCAGCCAGCAGAGGGCTAAAGAAGGTGTCAGCGAGAGGGCCTCTGGGGGGCCTTGACCCCACATGTCTGCTGCAGGGTCAGACCAGCAGCTGCTTCGTTTGTGACTGCAGTTTGCAGGCCATGGGTTTCTTTCCAGGCTGCTTTAGACCTCACGCCCAGAGCTCTCTGGTGAGACGCTTCTGGGGCAGGAGAATGGCACATTTTGGTAATCTAATTGCCACATAAGGAGACCTCTAGTCAAGGGATCCCCTTTTCCCCTGTGGCCAGGCTGGGGGCCCCACATCAGTGTCCATTCTGCTCCTGACCACACACATCTTTTTGGAGTTTATAGGGCTCCAATTTTTTGGCACAAAAGAACTCAAACTGTACACTCTTCATCAAACCGTGCCCTTCACAGAGACTTCCAGATGACCCCCAGAGTCCCCAAGGACTGTGCCCCAGCATTTTTCCCCATTCTGACCACTGGATGAAAACACCCCCCCACACACCCTCAGGAGCCCTAAGGATATGATGGTCACCACCAGTCACAAGGGCTCTCGATGATGGACCCCAGAGGCAAAGCTTATGGGAAGTCCACTTTAAGGACTGTTGTAAACCACAGACATGGTCCAGGATGGCATCAAGTCCCAGGGGCTCTGGGGATACAGTAGCGGAGGGCAGGTGGCAGGAAAGGGGGTATGGTTTCCATGCTCTTCTCCCTAGGGGCAGGGGCAGGAAGGGCCCAAGGGCCCCAGGCCAAGCATCAATGGCTACTACAGGCTTACCCAGAATGGGCACAGTGCCAGGAACATCTAACAAGCCCCCAGGGATGAGGCAGGAAGTTGCCTTGGGCCATGCTCAGAGGGTGTGTCTGTTCAGCCACCAGGGATCCCCCTGGGGATGACCGGCAGTTCCAGGACTGCAATGGGGGGGGGGGGTTTGCAAAGGCCAGGGTGGGGGAACATGTGGGGTGCACAGCTCAGACAAGTACGGATATGTGTCCACCAGTTCAGGTGGCTGGGGTACGGCTCAACTACTCCAGGGCTTTGGTAGAACCACAAAATGGGTCCCCTCTGGGCAGGCCTTGCCCCAAGAACACAGTGGAGAGTTCTTTTTCTCCAGGATCCCCAGCCTGCAAAAGAGTGTGGCTTGCATTTAGGCCTTTCAACTACTCACTGGACACCACAGCATAGGGCACAAGACACACATTTGTAGACTGTCTGCTGCAGTCTACCAATACACAGGGATGAACTGCGAAGGGGGTGCAGCAGGTGTCCCCACTCCAGCCTGGGCCTGGTCCCAAAACCGCTCAAGTGAGCCCACTCCTGGGGCTGTCTGCCTGATGCTCAGCAGATCCTCTCACATCCCTCAGCTGCTTTCCCTTCACCCTAAGGCAGCCTCTTCCAGTTTCTGTGCAGGACCCAGACCTGGCAAGCCTCTCTCAGCTTCCCAGAGCCCAAAGAGTCCACTGGGGCATCTGTCTTGGTCACCTTTCTCTCCTCCCAAGGCTGAGCGGGTATAAGTTGTGACCATGATAGAAATAGCAGAGTCAAAGGCCTGGATCTGGACACACCTGTTCCTTTTTCATTTCCTGAGCTAGGGCACCAAGAGGCTGTGGTCACAGTAGCACCCCTGCACTGCACCCCCCCAGCAGAACCATCCAGCTGTGCACAGGATGTGCATAACAAGAAAGAGAACATCTGAGGAGTGGTTTCTCTATCAAGCTCTGTCCAAAGGACTTTTCAAACATGTAATGATTTAACTCTCCCAACCCTGAGCTAGTTGCCATAATTATCCCTATTTTACAGATGAGGAAATCAAGGCCCAGGGAAGTTAAGTTGCTTGCTCAAGGTCACATGGGTACTAAGTGACTGGAACCCAGGCCATCAGCAATGTTTCATATAAAGGTTCAAATAGTTACTCTGGGCCCTTGGGCCCTGCCTTAATTTAAGTGCTGATTCCAACCTTTCCTGTTGTAAATAGGATGCTTTTAGGGGCGGGGATGCTGTGAGGTGGAGGGAGTCTGATACCGTTCGTCTGCAACCTCTAATTTACACATGCTTTATCCTAATTCATTCGATGTGACAATCAACAGGTTAAAAGCCTTGGAGAAAAAACATCTGCTGGGCATTTATCTGCCTGGTGCTCAGGTAACACCTAGCTTCACTGAATCCAAAGATCCCCTTGCAAGCTACCTGGCAAGCTACCGAACCCATTCTGTGGGCCCAGAACTCCTGCAGAGAACAGAAGGTACTCCCTTGTCCCCTAGCAGACACGGGCTTGGAAGCCAGTCCTTTAGATTTTCTAAAGTCCATGGCCCCAAGAGGAGCTGGAGAAGCTAACTGGATGAAAGGGAGCAGACAGAGGACAGAGGAGAGGCCTGGAGAGCAGGGGCAGAGGCCAGCACCAGGAAAGGAGTCCGCCTGCCAGCACAGCACTCCCAGGCCATTCTAGGGACCTCACTCCCAAGGCCTGGGGACGCGGGGACCCAAGGCTATCCTGTGGCTCCCTGGGCTTGGGGGAGGGAGGTCAGGGACTCAGTGGCAGGGAGCAGGGATCAGGCGCTGGGCCGCCCGCTGCGGCTCGCGGCCGTGCCGCGACTTGCTGGGAAAACCAGGACCTCAGTGTTTATAGTGCAGTTCCAGCGCCGCCCCAGCCCCTCCGCCCAGCGCCGGGCTCTGGTCAGCGTCAAAGACCAGCGGGCAGCACCCGCGGGCTGCGGGGGGTGGCACCGAGGACCCCTCCCTCTCGGCCCAGAAGGAAAACGGTAGAGGGGCTGCAAGGTGTGCCTCGCGGGCACCCAGCAGGGGTCGGCGCCGGCCCTCCCGGCCCTCCTTTGTCGCGGCACTCACCGAGCGGCAGGCTGATCCGGGGGCCGCGCGCCCGCGCCCAGCCCGAGGCCAGGGGCAGCAGGGCGAGCAGCGGCAGAGCGAGCCGCAGCAGCGGCGGGGCGCGGGGCGGGCTCGGCCGGGCCATCGCGGGGCGTCAGGATCGGCTCGGGCGGCGAGCTACGGTGTCCTGGGCTCGGGCTCAGGTGGCTCCACGGGCGTCTCCGGTGGCGGCCCCGCCCCTCAGCCCGCCCCGCAACCCGAGCCGCGGCCTCCGCCTCCGGACCTGGGGGGAGGGGCGCCGGTCACGTGCGCAGCCGCGGGCGCGGGAGCCCGGGTCCCCGAGCGCGAGGCTCGGGCCGAGCTCGCCTCCTCTGCCGGGCGCTCCCGGGGCCGAGCGAGCGAGGGAAGAAGGAGTCCAGGCTTCCCCGTCCCGGCTCGCTGCGGCCGCCCGACTCGTCCCCCTTTCTCCTTCCTGGTGCTGGAAGCCCGCGGGGCGCCGCCTAGGTGCAGCCTGCTCGGGAGCGCCCAGAGGGGACCGAACCCCGGGCTCCCCCACCTCCTGGGGGGCCTTCCCATCTCCCCGGATCTGACCCCTGAGGCCCCTCGTAGACCCTCGCCAGCCCGTGGGTGTGGGAACTGTGGCCTGGGGGAAGGTCAGGCCTCTTTTCCTTTCAGCTGCCCCCAGCACCCACCTGTCTGGGACCGGCTGCACTCGGCAGAGGTGGGGCAGGCGCTGGGCCTGCAGCTTGCGAGTCCGGTCCCCGCGTGGGTCGGTCCACCGCAGGTCTCGACTCGGCGTGCGCTGCACGCTGGCACTTAAGCCAAGTCCCCTGCAGGGTTGTCCGCGCTTGGAATTCTGACCACGCGAAGCAGAGCACGCTAAGGCCCGGGGGCGGGGCAAAATTAGCTTGAGTGGGATAATAGGATTTAATGTACTGCACTGCCACGGGGCTGAGTCCTTCTGCACTGCCGCACGTGGCCTGGCGAGACAGGACCCTCGGAGGCCACAGTGCAAGCCCAAAGGTGACCAGCCCCCATCCTTCTGGCTCCTCGGTCCACATCTGGGCACTCGGCTCTGCGGATCCCAGCGGTCGACCTGACCCTCTAGGGGGTTCTGAAGTCAATGAGTTGAAGCTTTATCAGCATTGCAAAACACAGGACTGAGCCAGTAGCGAGTACACGGATGGCAAGATAAGTGGCTTTTGGGAAACCTGTTTCAGCTTTTCCTGAGTGCACAAGATTTTAATGTAAGATGTAATCTCTCCTGGAGCTACAGCCAAATGGAGCTTGACAACCTCCAGCAGTCAATTCCGAGGCAGTGGGGACCACTTCTCCAGGAATTGGCTGCAACTGGCCAGTTTCTCTTTAGCTCAGGCCAAAAGCCTGTTTTCAGAGCCACTCCTTTCCTGTCCTCCACACCCCCAGGATCTGCCACATCCTGTGCACCGCAGGTGGCCATCAGATAGTGGGCAGAGCACTCAGACAGGGGTCTGCAGTTCCTGCAGCCATGGCGCTCTTGACCTGTGAACTGCCACCTCCCCCAAGTCCTTTTGTGGAACGCTAAGCTTGCTCCCAGCATCCTTCTTGTGGCATCCAACACCTATGGGTCTCCTATTGCCCGGGTCTGGAACCAATGCATTTAGAGCCAAAGGTGTCCCCAGTCTTTCCAGAACCTGGACCTCTGCCTGTCCTGAATTTCCAGAGCCTCAACATTTCTATTTGGCTGACAGGCAGCTCACCCAGCATAGCCCAAACCAAGTTCCTGATCACTCCTTCTTCCCAAAAAGGAGGCTCCATCTGCAGCCTCCTGGTTTCATCTAATGGCAACTCCATTGTTCAGTTGCTTGGGCTTACAAGTTTAACTCCTGTCTTTTCTCTCACTCCTCACAACCAATCCACTAGCAAATCCACAGTCTGACCAATTACTACCACCCCAGACCCCACCTCTCTCTCCTGGTTACTCCAAGAACCACACTGACTGGTCTCTTTGCTTCCTCCTCTGCTCTATATAGTGTATTCTCAACACTGCAGCCACAGTGAGCCTTTAAATGTAAAAGTCAAGCCTGGCATGGTGGCTCACACCTATAATCCAAGCACTTAGGAGGCTGAGGCAGAAGGACTGCTCTGAGTTCAGGGCCAGCCGAGGCTACAAAGTGAGTTTAAGGCCAGCCTGAATTGCATAGTGAAATCCTGTCTCAAAAAGACAAACAAAGGGGGCTGGGGATTTAGCTCAGCGGCATAAGCACCTGCCTTGCAAGCAGGCAGTCGAGAGTTTGAGAGTTCAATCCCGGGTACCGATAAAAAAAAAAAAAAAGACAAACAAAGATAAAATTGCAAGTCAAGTCATGGCTCTCCTTTGTTCAAAGTCCTTGAATGAGCTGAGCATGGTGGCACATACCTGTTAATCTGTGTTAATCTGAGCACTCAGGGAGGCTGAGGCAGAAGGATCCCAGCCAGGGCATTTTAGTGACTCAGTCTTTAAAAAATAAAAAGGGACCTGCCAGTATAAGTGAAGCGTGATCCCCAATATCACAAAACAAATTTAAAAAAAAACTTTCAGTATCCCCCCCATCTCAGGGAGGGCAACGGATGGTAGGGAGGACAGGGATGTGTACTTATTGGGTTTGTAAACATATCCCAAGTATCTAGAATGGTGCCTGACACATGGTAGGTGAGCCCTCAACAAATACTGGATGAATAAATGAATGAAAGAATTTACCTAAGAGACACAGAATATTGTTGGCTCATGTTAACCAACAACCAAAACTATTTTGATACTTGCTTTTGTTTGTTTGGTATTGGGACCTTGCATTTGATAGAGAGGCACTTTCTTTGCTGCTGTGTTATATCCCTGGTGCACCAAAATTACGTTGATACCAACTTCAAGCAAGGTAGGATTTCCCTCCAAACCTGAAGTTATGCAATGAACTTTTTCAGCCTAGCCCAGGACGTCATAATTCTCTTCCTGATTCTGACTCTGACCCAGATTTCATCCACCGAGGTCATTCAGAGTATTGGTTCTATTCCTTTGCCTTCCCCTCCCAGTTTTGAGTCATTTGTAAATTTGATTAAGCATTCCTTCTGCCTTAACACAAGTCATTGACAAAACTAATGGGCAAGGAGACAAGGTACCCAGATCTTGGTTTCCACATGCCACTGGCAGTGAAAGGGACCAGGGAGAATGAAAGAGAAAGGGAAAGTGCACGGTACAGAAAGCATCTCGTTGTGCCAGAAAGACTAAATAAATAAATAAATCAGGTCAAGTCAAAAGGTCCTAAGAACCAGCTTGATGGCCACTTACAACATGGACTGACGAAATGAAATAATGGATTCTAATGCATCAAATTAAAATACCATCCATTTAGTCCACGGTGAGACTCTAAGAAGGCATTAGAAGGGATGGAAAGGAAGCTTTTCTCTACAGAAAAATGCTGGCTGACAAGGTAGAAGAGATGATAGGGGGGCTGGGGGTTTAGCTCAGCGGCATAAGTGCCTGCCTTGAAAGCAGGCAGTCGTGAGTTCAATCCCCGGTACCGATAAAAAGGAAAAAGACAAAAAAAAAAAAGAGATGATAGGACTAGAAAAATCCAGAGTCAAGCAAGGATCACTGGGGAATGTGGAACCTCTGAGCTGGCAGATTGTTAGGAAACTACACATTAAACAAAGCCTCAAAGTGCATCCCACTGATGACTTAGTAACTACCAAAGGGAAAATGCGTCCTTAAGGGCGCCCATCAGTTAAGGTTGTAAGTCGCACTGTCAGCAATTCACCTCCTGATAGGAGGCAAGAAGCACAGAACCCCAATCCTTGGCTCGTCCTTGCCAAAAGTCTTTGACCCACATCTGGTAATGAGGACTTATATAAGCAGGTGGTCATGAGGTGGATTCCACAGGACAGCCCAGTCTCTTCAAAAAGAAGTCTGGGCTAGGTGTGGAGTTTGGTGAGAGAATACTTGCCTAGTGTTCATGAGGCTCGGGGTTCAATTCCCTGTGCTAGAAAAAATAGAGAGACAGACAATCTGTCTGTCCCTGTCTCTCTGTGACAGGGAAGAACGACAGATACTGTTTCATGTTGGGAGTAAAAAGACAGTAATCAGACATGACAAGTGAACCTTTATTGAATCTCAGATGAAAAACGCATGGTGTGATTGGGAAACTTTTAAAATGGACTGTGTATTAAATGATATTTATTGACTTATTGTTTATTTTCTTAGGCATGAAACTAGTACTTCTGGGGCTCAGAATATAGTTCAGCGGCATAAACACCTGCCTGGCAAGTGCAAGGCCCTGAATTTGATTCCTGATACCAAAAATAAATAAATAAATAAGATAAAATCAGAGAATAGTATTTCTTAGATATGATAGAGTCTTTATGTATTTATTTGGTACTGGATCAAACTCACGACCACGTACTTGCCACGCAGGCGCTTATGCCACTGAGCTAAATCCCTGGCTGAGTCTTTGTTTTTTGTAGATGCTTGAAGCTCTTAGAAGTGAAATGTCCTGATATCTGCAACTTACTTTCGACTCTTTGGCAGAAACAGATTCTGTGTGTATCGTGCGTGTATTAGATAGGAAGCACGTGAACTGGGCTGTGGTGTAACTTTAGCAATTGCTCAATAGTGGAAAACTTTTCGTGCTAATCTTTTTTTGGGGGGGAGGGTGTTTTGAGACAAGATCTGGCTACATAGTCAAGGGTTTCAACTCACCTATAGTCCAAGGCTGGCCTCAGACTCACAGTGATTCCTGAGTGCTGGGGTTGCACGAGTGCCACCGTGCCCAGCTTGTGCTCATCTTTTAGTTCTTTATTTGGGAAATGAGAGAGGCAAATGGCACGCTGGGAGACCTCTGGCACGTCTGATCACTGCTCTTGTGGTCGGAGCAGCAAGTTCTGCATCCTCCTTGCTGCCAATGTGCCTCCGTATCTTCCGTAAGAATATTATGAAAAAAATGGTAAGAAATCTTCTCAAAATCAAGGTGCCAGTCCCAGCATTGGCTCCTTCTGCCTTCTGCTGACTGCCTGTCCCACTGGCATCTGTCAAGAGCCCAGTCCCAGCACCAGGAAGCTCGTAGGGCACAGCACGAAGGGGCCGCCCCAGTACCCTGGTGACATGGGACCTGTGTGACGGCAGGACTGACGCAGCCTTGTTTGGTGGCTAATTATATCGTCCTCAGGGCTGCTCATGCATCAGAAATATGTTTCATGCCGTCTGGGCAGCAAGCCACTCAAGGGCAGTAACAGGTCCCCCGTGTTCGGGGGACCACACAGGACTAGAACAGTGTGAGGGTTCACCTGCTGCCTGGGGGCAGGGGCACTCCAGTCTGCACCTCTGCACAGCAGCCTGGCTGATGAGTTCTCCCCAGACCAGAAACCTAGGAGGGCCGCTCACAGGGGAAAGTCTCACTTAAGTGACTTCCTGTAGACAGAGTGGTTCCCAAGCCAACGACATGTCTGCTGTTCCCTCTGCCACTCTTGGATGGAGGCAGATCTTTCTCAGCCAGGACGCTGTTTATAAAGAGATCAGGGAGCCGCTTGGAAAAGGAGTGCAGAAAAGAAAAGAGAAGCAAAAAGCAAGGCTTCTCTGTGCCTGCAGCCCAGCCCTCCTGCTTGCTGTCTGAGGTTCTCTCCCACGCATACCCAAGAAATTCAAAAACAGAAGAAGGAAATGCAAAATGTGCATGGCAGCAGGCCGTGGTGACACACACCTGTAATCCCAGCACTTGGGAGACTGAGGCAGGAGGATCAATGCAAACTGGAGGTCAGCCCAGGCTGTACAGTGAGTTCAAGGCCAGCCTAGACTCCATAAGGAGAGCTTGTCTCAAAAAAAGCAAAACAACAGTAACAAC